CCTTTGGAACCAGAACCATCTGTGGGAAACGAATATCCAGGGAAACATAGTACAAAGCAACCAGCTTGTATGTTTAAGGAAGAAGAGGACCAGGTGGTCTGGCAACTATCCAGGGAAGTATGTGGCAGGAGAAAGACTAGGCAACTTATAACCATGCAGGTAAGCAGGTGGAAGAAAGTAATAGAAAGATAAGGGAGATCAAATGAAGAGCAAAAACAGACCATGTAGAGTCATGATTACAACACTAGGGCTACCTACATCTCCAAATAGCATTTAACATAGAACAAACGGTTAATGTTTATTTCCCTTGTAAAGCCCTTGAGAACAGGATAATCTGTTTATTGATCTTAGGAAAAACAGTCCTTTCAAATTAATTCAACAATACAAAACCAGGGTGATGGACAATTCCTATGTGAAGGACTGATTTTGAAGTGTACTAGTCTGGTGCTCTACTGATGACACTGTATCAAGGCTCAGGAATCCTTGTGCTACTCCATTTAGCTTGAACTTGACTTAACTATGCTTGGCAAGGGCAACAGTTTCATGCACTTCATCTGTGAAAGATTTAATCAAGGCACATCATACAGGAGACCAATAAAGGCTTTCCTCATGACAAGTCACTTGAAGCTGTAAATACAGCTTCTGAATACAATACCAATGTAACTATGAAAAAAAAGTATGTGAAAAGGCAACAAGATTCAATGAATCTGCTTCTGTGGCACCATATGATTTGGCACTTCAAACAGGGATTCCTTTGTCAGCATGTAGAGAGATGTCTGAAAGCACTATGGTCTGCTACTCTACTCACTAAAGGTTGGCATACACCATCCCTGCTGCTGATTAATGGCCACAGATGGGAAAAGAAAGCAACACCTTCTTTGAAAGAGACAGTACTACCACTAGTTGAAGGCCAATACCAAAGATGAAAGGGTTATTCACAAGTGTGATGTTGCACCCCATAAGGCTTTATGAAAAATATGCTTATGAATGTATATATGACATAACTGGAATATGTTTTATGCTACATATGCCATGCAACATCTCTGTAAAGGTTGTGATCTACTGAAGCTATTCATCCTATGTATATGCACGTGTCATTATTGTATTTGAAGTTATGAATATTGGCAGTATACGGCTTTGATTTTAAATAGCTTTAGTAAGGCATTTGGTCAGCTTCTTTAGAAAGAAATATGCAAGTTAAGCACCCAATCAAGAAGCACTTAATGGACAATGCATCTTGGAAGGCTCCAATCCACATAAGAAGTCTACATGAGGACATTCAAGGTAGCATGTGAACCATGGTTGCTACCTGTAAATTCTGAGTCATGCATGGACATGCGACTTGCCCATGTGACTCCAAAACTCCATCTTGTAGCTGGAATTCTATACAGGGGGAGGGAGGGGTATCCACCCACAAGAGAAAGTCTATTTAAACCTCTGGGAGATCCCTCCATTTTGTCTTCAGCTGGCTCAAGAGATAGCCTCTCCACCCCCAAAGGATACCTGAAGGAAACTGGAACAAAGGACTGTAACTACAGGGGGTGTGAGTGATTGCTGGAGACTAGTCTGTAAAAGGAAGCTTATTGAAACACCTCTGAGGGTGAGGTTTTATCTGTATTCAGTGTCTTACTGCATTAGACACAGAGTTGCGTGCTTTATTTTATTTTGCTTGGTAATTCACTTTGTTCTGTCTGTTACTACTTGGAACCACTTAAATCCTACTTTCTGTATTTAATAAAACCAATTTTTACTTATTTAACCTAGAGTATGCATTAATACCTGGGGGTGGGGGAGGCAAACAGCTGTGCATCTCTCTCTATCAGTGTTATAGAGGGTGAACAATTTAGGAGTTTATCCTGCATAAGCTTTATACAGAGTAAAACGGATTTATTTGGGGTTTGGACCCCATTGGGAGTTGGGCATCTGAGTGTTAAAGACAGGAACACTTCTTAAGCTGCTTTCAGTTAAGCCTGCAGTTTGTGGGATGTGGTTCAGACCTGGGTCTGTGTTTGTGGCCAGCAAGTGTGTCTGGCACAACTTGGCAGGGCTCTGGAGTCCCAAGCCAGGAGGGAAAGCAGGGGCAGAAGTAGTCTTGGCACATCAGTTGGCAGACCTAAGGGGGTTTCTGTGATCCAACCCGTCACAATAAAGTTTAGAGGCAACATCTCCAATGTCTCTGCTCAGTTTTCCAAAGCAGAGCAAAAAATGGCATGATTGTCATTTTCACATATAACTTTGTTCTGAATAGCTGTGCAATTGGCCAGAGTAATGTCATTCACTCTGCTATCAATTCACAATATTTTGACCCTCCCGGACATCAGGAGGTACGTATAAACTGGTAGCAGTTTTCCCATCATCATGTTCTGGCATTTAGGGGCATCAAAGCTCCTCCACTCCTGTCTGTTTCTGGCAAGTCTTTCAATGGTTCCCCAGCTGTGCCCCAGGTTTTTCAGTTCGGCTTCCACAGCTCTTTGCCATGTTGTTTTCGGGCAGCCTCATTTTCGCTTGCCTTTAGGTGTCCATCTTATTGCTACTCTGGTGATGGAATCAGTTTCCATCTGAAGCACATGACCGATCCATCTCCAATGCCTCCTGGCAATGACGGTGCTCAGAGCCTCTTGGATGCACTGTGTCAATAGAGCAGTTTTCCATAAACAGCCATTAACAGGAATACCCAATTTTGTTAATCCAAGACTCACTGAATCAGAGCTATGTTCTCCGTAAGAGGGAAATGGAGTCCAAGAAGTTCTATGGCAGTAGAGTGCAACTGCTGGCCAGCAAAATGCAACAATTTAAGGTATTTTTTATTTAAGGTATTTTTTAATCACAGCCCCCTTCCCGAGGAGAGCTGCCAGCGCAAAATGGCCTGGATAACTTGTCTCAAAGGCAAGAGGGAAACCTTCCAAGAAATGCAGGAGAGCGCACCACAGTCTGAGGCAAAATGGAAACATTTAGCCTCACTTGGTGAAGCAGGTTGACAAAGAGGAGAATAACATGAGTGGGTAGATGAGAGTAAAACAATACGTATCCAACACAGTAGGAAGAAGATTATTCGATTAACTGGCAATGAAAGGACTTTTGGATAATGTCACTCTGGTGACTATTTGCAGCCATTTGGACAGGTAAAGTCAGAATATCAGGAAACCACAATGACTGATCCTTTAATGTTTAAATAACTAATTATAGAAAACATCCAATTTAGAGACCATATCTGTATAAAGAGTAAAAAAATAAAAAAATCAGACACCGTCTTAGTTTAGTGTAACTCAGAAATTCAAGTGGAGTCTTCATTTTACTTTGTATTCTCTACCCTGTTTCCCCGAAAATAAGACAGTGTCTTATATTAATTTTTGCTCCCAAAGATGCGCTAGGTCTTATTTTCAGGGGATGTCTTATTTTTCAAAAATGAAAAATGCCTTATTATCGGTGGATGCCTTATTATCGGGGAGGTCTTATTATCGGGGGGATGCCTTATATTACAACGAGAGGCAAAACTGTAAGTAGGCCTTATTTTCGGAGGATGTCTTATTTTCGGGGAAACAGGGTATCAACTCTGTCTAGTCATTTCCACCATTTAACCTGAATAATCAGTGCTCTGTATAGGGAGAAACATTTAAAATGGAACATGTTCTAGAGCCACAAAAAGTGCCAGGGGGCTCAAGTACAAGTGTAGCTTCTGAAGGTCAGTTAGAGAATTAAACAGTACTAGATTTCAAGTTAATTAAGATCCTAAAATATTTTAAACTTGTTGGGCAAATAATTTTGAAGTCACAAATCCCTTTCACGTAGTGGCTTTTGAAAATGCAAACCCTTAAACCACAGTAATGGTCAGAGGTACTTGGGCATTTGGAAGTATTTAAGACTCATGTAAAACAGATACTACTCTCTTCCACTGTTAGAGAGCCGTTCCAAAATACATTACATACCGTTGCTGACCAAAGAATCCACACTAACTCCCCCATTTTCATATCCAGGCCATACAAACCTGGTTACTCCATAGTAACCAACTGACATGCTGAATCACAGCACTACAGAAACCTAAAGATGACTCACAATGCAGGGATTTGCACCACCATTTTCAATTTACAGGATGAAAAGAAAATGAAATTTTGGACACTGAAAAAAAGTCAAGAAGACCAAAAAACCAAGAGAACAATTTGAGTGTTTCAAACTTGTTCTAAATAGAGTGCAAGCGTTTTTAGGCAATTGTATAAGCAGTGCAGGAGCTCCCACAAACTCTGGTGAGCCAGGAATGAAGCATATTTTGGTAACCACCCAGAGCACCTCCTCTTGGCTCAGAGGAGAGCCATAGATGTAATGGTGCCAACCCCCCTTTACTTTGTTTCTGGATTCGATACCATGAATTAACTACTGAATTTCAACTGATTTCTGCTGCCCGGCCCCCTATACCGCCTGGGCTTTGGAGGATGCAGAGGAAAGTAGGTCCTCCCTGCCCCGCTCCCTCTAGGTGCGTTGGCCGCACTGACCTTGCAGCTGGTCATCTTGGCGAGGGGGAGAAGAGGAAGAATCCAGCTGAGGAGCTCAACCAGCCTGTCTGCTCCCCCCCCCCATACCTACCACCAACAAGCGGCAAGGGGTGCTTCCCTCACCTAGGGTGACCAGATGTCCCGATTTTATAGGGACAGTCCCAATTTTTGGATCTTTTCCTTATATAGGCTCCTATTACTCCCCACCCCGTCCCGATTTTTCACATTGGCTGTCTGGTCACCCTACCCTCACTGCCCTCCCTACGGTGCCCAGGCCAGGAGGAGAATGCAGGTGGGAGAAGGTCCCCGCGCCCTCAGCCCCATAGTGCCCATCACCCGGCCCGAGGGGGAGGGAGGGGAACCACTAGCTCCCCACCCCCTCAGGCCCAGAGCGCCCGCCACCCACCCCCTCTCCATAGTACCCGCCCTCCCCTGGCCCTTACGCGCTGCGCCCCCATAGCGCCCTTGATGTGGCCCTAGGGCTCCCTGCCCCGCCCCCCAGGAAGCACTGACCTGATGGGGCTGATGCGCAGCTGCTCCTCCCGCAGCCCCCGCCAGGCCCCGGGCAGGAACTCCTTGCACCACAGATACGCCTTGCGGCGGGTGCGGGAGTCGGGCTCCTCCTCAGGTGGCGGCAACGTGGCCGGTGGCTGCTGCTGCTGCGGCGCCCGCACCCCCGCCAGCTCCTTGCCCTCGGCCTCAGGGTGAGTGGGCGGCGACGGCGGCTGCCCCGCGGCGGGCAGGACCACCCCGGGGCCGGCGCTACAGCCGAGCAGCAGCCCCAGCGGGGAGGGCTCGGTTTCGCCGTTACAGAACTTGGTCTTCATAGCGCGGGCAGACGGCCGAAGCAAATCGGTGGGGGGAGCTGCGCGCGCTCGACTCAATACCCGCAGACGGAATGCAAGAGGCGCGCGCCTGCTTCCCGTTCTTATACCCGCTGGCACGCGGACCCGCTCACCTCACTCACACCCCCTTCGCCTCCCTCCCCCTCACCCCCCGCCGCCCTTTCTGATTGGCTCTCGACCCGCACCAGTCGTGCGGGCTCAGGCAACCGACGCCTCCTGATTGGCACAGAAAGGAAGCAGCGGCGCCAGCTGCCGCAACGCAGGCTTTTGTGAGGGGCACACAAGCAGCCGATTGGCTGCTCCCGGTTGCCCCGGCGATCGGTGCGGCTCGCGCGCGCCTCACAATGATGTGGCGAGAGAGCGGAGACAGAGCAAGGTGATTCACCCCGAAGGTCAGCCCCACCTCCCCCCGCCCCGCGCTCAGCCTCCATCCCCCTCCCCTCTGAGCTCCGCCCCTCAGGCCCTCCTCTGGGCTTAGCTCGCCCTCACTGTGTGATCAGGCTCCACCACCCCCTTCCTCGTGAGCTCAGCCCCCAGTGCCTCCATCTCCCAGCTGTGCCCACCACCCCTCCCCTCGGTACTCAGGCTCCATCCTCCCGCTCCAGCTGTGCCCGCCATCTCTCTCTCACCCTCCTAGCACAAGGATGCTCTACTGCTGTGCTCAGCATCCACCTCCCAAACAACAGGATTCTCCGTGGGTGTGTGGGAGGGGGAGGACATTAAGCCTTAGCAGAGCTAGGCAGTCACTGGAGAGGAAGGCAAAAGGTGGGGCATAGCTAGAGGTGTACTGCTAATAAGCTCTGAGTACAGCTGGACAAGCAGAAGAGGGGAACTGGGGCCAAGCTGAGGTCACCTTGTTTTAGGTTTGTTTTAACACCTGGGAATTTAATATAACATGACATCATTCAGTAGCTAGTGTTTAATTGACTTAGTATGTCCTGGGGTGTTAGGCTTGGGGTGGCAGTGCCATCTGTCCAATGCAGTGAGCATTGTTGGAGCTGCTGCTGCGCAGGACAGATTGGCTCATGGTAACCAGGAGTTCCTTTAGCTCAAGCTCTTCTGGAAAGATGCAGGCTAATTAACACTCTTATTCAGTTGGAGTTGAGTCACAGAGGGATGACAAACTGCACACCTTTGCCCTGTACCAGAAGGTGAACTCCTGAGAAAAATTTGTTTTTGTGTACATCGCTTTAAAGTTTAGGTTTTTTTTTTATATCCATTTGTTTTTTACATTGGAAATATAAGAAATATCATGCTCTGACTTCGTTTTCTTGAAAGACTGGCAGTATTTGCCGTATTGGGATGGTGACATCCTAATCAGCTGAAATCAGTGGCAGCTTTCCTAACCCTCAAGTGGACTGGGAGGGAATGTTAAAATTGCCTAAGACTTAATATCTTCTCTTGTCATAAAAGAGCAATAAAGGAACAAGCCACCTTTGCACCGCCATGATCCTGAGCTACCTCTCCCTCAGCCAGATCCCCCAGCATACATAAGAACATAAGAATGGCCCTACTGGGTCAGACCAATGGTCTATCTAGCCCAGTATCCTGTCTTCCAGCAGTGGCCAATGCCAGGTGCCCCAGAGGGAATGAACAGAACAGGTAATCATCAAGTGATCCATCCCCTGTTGCCCATTCCCAGCTTCTGGTAATCAGAGGGTAGGGACACCCAGAGCGTGGGGTTGCATCCCTGACCATCTTGACTAATAGCCATTGATGGACCTATCCTCCATGAACTTATCTAGTTCTTTTTGGAACCTTGTTATAATTTTGGCCTTCACAACATCCCCTGGCAACAAGTTCCACAGGTTGACTGCGTACGTCAGAGCAGCTGGATGGCTCTTCTAATACCAGATGCCAGCGGCTTCAAGGGACCAGTATAGTAGACAGGGCCATCCCTAGGCATATGCAGCTGTGTAAGGCACCATGAAATTTGGGGCACCAAATTGCCCCAAATTTCACGGTGCCCTAGAACTGCGTGCTGCATATGCAGCAGCACCAGATCCAGCGGCCAGCCCTATCCCCCAGTCGGCCCGCCCCCCCCGTGGGCTGTGCCTACTGCAAGGGGCAGGGCAGTCCAGGGCTCTGGAGGTGATTTAAAGGGCCTGGGGCTCCCCGCGGTGGCAGGAGCACCAGGCCCTTTAAATCTCTGCCTGAGCCCGGCTGCCGGAGCCCCAGGAGCCAGGATCCGGTGGGGATTTAAAGGGCCCGGGGCTCCCCGCAGCGGCCGGAGATACTTCTCTCTGTCACTCTCTACCTGGACTGCTCTGGGGATTAAGTGTCTACCCCAACTCCTGCCCCCAAATTTCAGTGCAAAACCTAAAGGAACAATTATCCAATCTGTTAATGAACCCTCCACACTTTCTTAGACTCATTTGTGCATTTCCCACTCCAGCAGGTTTCAACCTGCCCCCATCAATCTTTATGCTATTCTCCTGTTGGTAGAAAACCAAGTTGGCTTGTCCAAGGAGCAAGCAAAGGGGGAAATACCTTTTTTGTGGCAATGTCTCAGCCTATCCTCTGCTACAAAATGGTCTCCCTGGTTCTGGCCTGTTCATGATGGCATCAGGAGAGCATGCTCTGGTCTGTTAAATTGAAGACTGGGTCTAGGAAAAAAACACAACCTGAAAGTAATCTAGTTATTAACAATCCAATTGGGGGACTTACTCCAAAGGAACTTCTTGCGTTAAAACATTGGGGGAGTGGGAGAACGAGGAAAGGTAGCTACCCTTTGTTAATAATATGGCTCTCTATACAGGGTGCTGGAACAATTTTTATAGTGGGAGTGCTGAGAGCCATTGAACCAAACTGTACACCCTGTATATCAGAGGTTCCCAAACTTATTTGGCCTACCGCCCCC